GTGATAATTTAATTTTTTTAATATTAAATAATAATATTATAAAATTAAGGGCTTGCTTGAGCCCCATTTTAAATTTTATTTTTCCAAAAAACACATTTTGCAATAGTATTATGATAGAGAATGCGTAGTTAAAAAAAAAAAAGAAATTTTTTAAAATTTGCGTGTAATATTATTTTATTAAAAATTGTGTAGTTAAAATGGGATATAATCACTATTTAAAAATTCATTTTGATGAAAAAAAGGGGGCTCAAACAAATGCTAAATTAATCTACATACCCACTCCGTCCATCCACCCCACCGATTTTACTCCCAAACTCTAAATCATTTTCCTCTTTCTTTTCTATATCCTCCCATTTCTCTCTTCTTTAGCCTCTATATTCTCTCTCTATATCCTCTCCTTCTCACTTCGTTATGGACCCGACGCTCACAGCAACGAGCACTCCATCCATCCACCCCACCGCTTTGCAGCGCTCAGGTTTCTGCTTTTGGTGCTTGGCCAACAGGGATGGTGTTAGGATGTCAATTGTAGTAACGAGTGGTAGATTGGGTTTTGGTTGGCTAGGTGTGCAATTGGAGCAGCTGATGGCGTGTTTGCTTTGCCTTAGGGAAGATGGTGGGATTGTAGAAAATTTGGGTTGGTGAAGTAGGTAGGTGGTCAGGCATGTAGTCGATGAAGGAGCATGACGAAGTTGGCTGACTATCCGGTGACGGTAATGGGCATCGATAATGTAATGGTATATCAGAGAGATTGCTTCTAAGGTTTAGAAACGGGAAGGGATATGGGCCAGATTTTGGGTGTGTTGGGTTGAATCGTGGGTGGTGGATGGTGGTGGTGTCGCAGTTGGATTGAAGTATTTGTGACCAATTATTTAGGTGATTGTATCCACTAAAATAATTAATTGGTGACCAATAAATAACATGTAATCGATAAAAAAGATAATTCGTGATCAATAAATAATATGTAACCTTAAAAAATGTAATATTGTGACTAAATTTATAATCATAACTCACAATTTGTTAAGTTGTTACCAATTAATTTGATAATTTGTGATCGAAAAATAACTTGTAACCAATTAATTTAATAATTTGTGATCGCGAAATAAATTTTGACCTATAAAATTTATGATTGTGACCGAAATATACTACATGATCTATTAATTTGATAATTTATGATAGGTAAATAAATTATGATTTGTAAAAATGTGATTTGTAATTGAGAAATAATGCGTGACCAATTAATTTGATAATTTGAATTAAGATGCTCTCATCAATTTTATTTTGACATTATTTAGAGATGGTAACAAAGTAGCGAATCGTGCATGCACAAGCTTGCACGAGCTTACTCACTAGCTGCTCTTATTTTGGCTCACGTGTTGAGCTAGGTGGAAAATTTAGTCAATCAAACATCTCCCTCTTCTCTAAAATCTACGTCACTCTCAATTATTTATATTTACAATTTTGCAGTTATTATCACTTTTTTGATTTTTCAATTTCTCTGAAAAATTCTTATTACAACTGTTTATATTTTTGTTGTTTTATTATTTTACCAAATTTACATAATTGTAAGCTCATCATCATTTTTCCCGTAACAGAGATAGTGTGCCTAGTTTCTTGCCAATTTTTCAAGAATAACCGAAAAGGTTAGTTATGTTACCGCGTTCGGTAAGATGAAAGAAGAATTATTCTTTTGAAATTATGAATGTAGTCTTTCGTGAATTTTTGATATTATGTATTTTGTTATAGTAATCAATACGTACATTTAGTAACATTATATCTTTTTTTTTTTTTTTCGATTCAAATAAGATTTGTATTCATAGAAAGTGCATAAAGCAGATACACGGAGAAAAACCTCCAACACACGCTCTC